CAACTTGAACCACAGATTCAAAAAAACTATTATGACAAGCTTTTTTGAAACTTATAAGGAAGGGCAAAGGATAAATTAGCCAAAACATTTTGAAAAGAATTAACATGACATAACTTACACAGTCAGCATAAGGATAAACTCATAGGTAATTGGAACAGAATAATCTAGAAATAAACCCACACATATAGGGATAATTGATTTTCTATTTTTTTTTTCAATAAATGATGCTATAATAGTTGGAAACACTATTTAGAGAACTCCAATCCATAATTTAAATCATACATAAAAATTGCCTCAAAGTAGATCACAGACAATAGGTAAAACATAAAACTCCTAAATGAAAATATAGGAGAAAATCTTTGGGAACTTGGAGTAAGCAACAATATCTTGGGACTTAAAAAAAATGTGAAACATGGCCCTCCCTGGTGGCGCAGCGGGTTAAAGCGCAGCACTGAGAATCTGAAGCCACTTCCGCATGAGTTCGATTCCCGCCTGCCGCCTGCCCCGGAGGAGACCACATGGCGAGCCAGACCTCTCCTGACCCGCCCGCTGCTCCCCTCAGCAGTGTACTTCGTCCATCTGCCTGTTCTGCTCCCCACTCTGTCTCTGGTGAAGCCTCTCACCGCCCCTGAGCCTCTGGCCTGTACCCCAGTTCTGTATGAATAAATAAATAAATCTTTAAAAAAAAAAAAAAATGTGAAACATAAAAATTGATAAACTATCTGAACGCATCTATAAAAAAAAACCGGATCACTCATAAGAACAGAAAAATGTAAAGCAATGGACTTCTCAAAATTGTATACAAGAGGTAAAAATCAACGGAGTAATAATTTTTAAATCCCGGATGAAAATTATCTGCAATGCTAGATCTATTCAAAGTATCAATAAAGTATAAAGGCAAAAAAAAAAAATACATTGCTCAAAAAATTATTGCCATGCATTCTTTCTTAGAAAGTCAATATAAAATGTGCTCCAATAAAAAAGAGTATAAACTGAGAAAAACAATGACATGAAATACAGAAAACAGGGTTTGCAGCATAGAAAGTAAAAGACTGAGAATGGTTGGTATCAAGGAGGAAGAAGGAGGGCACTGGAACTGGGCAGAGGTGGAAAAGGATAATATGGGAAAAATTACAGATGTGTGAGACTATGGAAAATATGTGGAGGGAGATGAATGACAATGTACACATACAAAAAAGTAAAACCAGGTAAATTTAAAAGGTAATTATTTCAAGAAAAGTGGCGAAACACATAAAAGAGTATAGTCATATTAGACCAGCAGGGATTACTTAATCATTCAAAATATAAGGCTGGACTCTCCAGTTAACTAAAAATTGTTATCACTAATGGAGAGTCTACTGTGGTTACACATAATGTCTAAAATTTTAAAATCATGCAATAGCTATGAATAAACTACTTAGGGCTCTGGAAGTAAATAACAAGTTGGAGCAGTAACTACAGATTGAAGGGCACTATTTTTTTATATACACCTTTTAGTGCCTGTAGGCTTGTGAAACTTCTTTCTGTTAGAACTTTTGAGAAAAAATTTTCTTAATGAGAGACGAGCATGTGAAAAGTGCATTATAAAAAAAGGGGAGTTGAAAAGTAAGAACTAAGCAACTAAAGGAAGTGAAAGATGATGATGGTGGTGGTGGCAGATATGGAAAAGAGAACATATTTCAGAGTTTTCAAAGAGAAAAAGCTGAAGTGACTTCCAGAAGGAAGTGGTATTTCTTAAGGGGAAAGGGAGAGAAGAAGGGAAGGGCAAATCAGGACGCACTGACGTTCCTGACTCTTCACATTTGAGATGGGAAAGACGTGAGAGTGACGGGGGAGAGAGACAGAGGGTAGAAATCAAGAGTTTTGTTTTAGATGTATTAAATAGAGATGCATATTGGATTTCCAAGTGGAGATATGAAGAGGTAAAAACTGATGCATGAGCCTGAGGCTCAGGAGAGAGGTGAGAACTGGTGACATTAATTTTAATCATTAGATACAGGTAACAGTTAAACCTCTATGACTATATATATATAAATCTAAAACTCCTTAGGGAGAGATTAGAAAGAAAGAGAAATATATATATATATTTGTATTACAACATAACAGAACTATAACAGAAAATGGGTATTAGTCCATAATATTTTTATTTCACAGAAATAGGTATAATTTGTACACTTATGAATGTACTTGAAATAATGTAAGATGTATTTTCTACCTTAGACTGTGATCAAAAAAAGTTATGAAATTCTAGATGAGAAACAAGTTTGCCACTATGGTAGGAAGAAAGTGTAGGATAAGAAAGTCAAAAGAACTATTTCAAGGGGGAAAGCTCACCTCTACAGAATGAGTAAGCGGAGTAAAATAACCTTTCCAACTTTTGCTAATAACTTTATCCCCCCCCTCTTTCTGATTATAAAAAACTTCATTTTGTACAAATTCATTGCAGTGCATTTCTACTTGCTAGATGGTTTGCTGCCTGATTCATGGATCCTTTATAAAGTCATTAAATTTACTCAGATGAATGTTGTTTTTAAAAAGTTCCTTAAGAATTATTAGAACTAGGGCCCTCCCTGGTGGCGCAGCGGGTTAAAGCACAGCACTGAGAATCTAAAGCCGCTTCCACATGAGTTCGATTCCCGCCTGCCCCGGAGGTGACCACATGGCGTGGCAGACCTCTCCTGACCTGCCCGCTGCTCCCCTCAGCAGTGTACTTCCTCCATCTGCCTGTTCTGTTCCCCGCTCTGTCTCTGGTGAAGCCTCTCACCGCCCCTGAGCCTCTGGCCTGTACCCCAGTTCTGTATGCACAATAAATAAATCTTTAAAAAAAAAAAAAAAAAGAATTATTAGAACTAACGAGTAACCATGGAATAGACAATCCGGAAGTCATTTGTGGCTGACCTTGACAGGGGCTGCTTCCATGAATGGTGGAGATGCAATACATTTTAGAATGAGAGGTAAGACAGTAAATACGACCAATAGGGATAGAAGGAAATCTCAAACCTGAACCTGAAAATTAAAAATCAGATTCACTATGTGAAAGAGCCTGTCAGAGTACTAAAACAATCTTGGCTATGAGTTCCGTGGGGCAGACCTTTGGCACAAATTTCTAATTCCTAACTTACCGATATTTGGACATAAGGCCTTTAAACAGTTAATTAACATTAAATGAATTAACATGGGTGGAGTCTTAACCCAGTATGCCTCATGTCATTAAAAATATCAAGACACAGATACACATTGAAATAAGAACGCATGGACACAGGGAGAAGACAGCCATCTATCTACAAGGGTCAGAAGCCTCTGAAGAATTCAACCCTGTTGATACGTGGATCTTTAACTGGTACCTTCCAAACTGAGAAAATTAAACTTCTGTGGTATTTTAAGGCAGTTTTAGAAAACTATCACTATTACAACATCCCGGTTTCTGTCTCAAGTCTGTCTGGATCCCTTCTCTCCCCAAGCTCCACGCACATCTCCATGAAAACATTAAGCTGCCCCATCACTAGCTCTCCCAACCCCAAAGTTCTCAAAGTTCTCAAATAGCTCTTTATAGAGCTATTAGTTCTTGACTATTCCAATCAAAATACAAGTTCTTTGACTTAACAAACCTCACCTATCATTCCACAAAGTTTTCTGTACCCAAAAGCAACAAACACACTTTTTCAAAACTGAGTAAAATTAGAGTCAAATATCTATTGAGGTCAGAGAGAGCAGTTAGGAATTTTGATAACACAAAGGCAAGACTGGCAAATATACGATACAACGTGCAGTATGGTCTACAGGTCACACCCCATCTTTAGGTAGCCTGCACTTTCAAATTAGAAAAGAAAACAAGTTTCCCTGTTTCAAATCCAAGCAAATCATAAAAATCTTTTTTCCTTACTTCAAGAATCTCAAACTTCTACAATTAACCCCAAGTCCTGATATCACAGCCAGGAAATTGTTTTATTATCAGAAAAGAAAGACTGAAAGAAGTTTTAATTCTGGTATTTCATTAAAGCAAAAAATTGATCATACACAGACAAGCATATCAATACAAACATACATATATCCATATGCACAGGAGTTCGTTCTCCAAACACAGACCCAATCTGCACATTCAGTACATTAATCATGCAATGAGTAGGCCCTGAGGTATTTATTTTGAATTCTGACCAGTATTTCATCAATCTGAACCCATATTTCAATATCGTAATTACCAAAGAAATAATCACTGACATCTACTTTCCAGTTTCCACAACTGCTCAGTCACTCTGCAACACCTGTAATTCTCAGTTATTGTATATAAAGAAATCAAAAGATGTAAAACTGCACACTAACATTACCTTGACAAGAAAGTTTAATGCCTTCTCATTCCAAGAAGGAAAAAAAAAAAAACAAAAAAACGACCACAAACGAAATAACATTATGACAGAACTGAAGAATTAGATTACCTGACCCTGTACGTTTAATATAGCCCATTTTTGTAAGTTCTGCACAGTCTCAACATCTAGGTTTGAAATTTGGCTGACGTCTGAACTCCGGATAAACAATTTCATACATGCCTAAAACCCAACTCAGTTCCCTAGACAGGATTAAAGCAAGGTAATGAAATCTCTAGTTACTATCAGGTCAGGACCTGTCAGGAAAAAAAAAAGGAGTAACTAATCACTTCACCTTCGAAAACAGGCCAAGGTTAAAATCTGGGCAGACCGTGGTAAGAATGGCAATCAAGAGCAGCCGCGGCCGGTGAAGCAGTATTTGTTTTAACCCTAGTCAAGATGCCCAGCCCTGGATCTTGTTCTTTTCCTTTCCATGATGCCAGCGGGCCTGTCATTGGTCAGGGGTACATCTGTGAGCTCAGTCCTGAGAATTGGACAACAGATGATTTAAGAGACGTGAACATCCTTTAAAAAAACACAAGCACGGGCAGAACTGGCAAGTCGGCGCAGCTGTCCGGCTCGCGTGCGCCCCACTGTGCGCCCCACCTTGCCAAAGCCCCAGGACGGTGCCCCACTCACCGCACACCATCAGCAGCAGGACGATCAGCAGCGTGGCCACGAACACTAGCAGGGTCAGCCCGACGTTGTGCCACATCTTGGGGGAGGGCGGCAGGCTCAGGCGCGGGGCGCGGGGGCGCCGCGGCCGCGCGTCCTGGCTTCAGTGGCAGGCGCCGGGCGCGGCCGGGCGCTTACACCTCATGGGTGGCGGAGCCCCTCGGCAGCGCCCCCAGGGGGACAAGGAGGGGGGTGCCTGGTCAGCCAGGCGGCTGGACCAAGCGTCCTTCTCACCCGGTGGACCGAACCCCGGCGGGAGGCGGGCACTAGGCGTCTCTCTACCCCCTCATCGCCACGGGGAGCCAGGGTCGCGGCGGCCAGAGGCACCGGCAGCGGAACCGTGCGCTTCCAAGGCGGACGCCGCGCGCCATGGGATCAGAGAGGGTGGGCTCTGGCACGCGCGGCGGCCTCACTACCCTCCTGATCGTCGCCGCCGGCCCCAGAGTCCCCGCACCCCTCGGACTACAGATGTTAACGTTTCCTGGCAGGGCAGCCAGGCGATGGCTTCCCCAAGCCCCCTCCCCCAGCGACAGCTCGTCACCTAGCGCCCCTGTCGCTCCTGATCCTCCGCACAGGGGCGGCTGGGAATTGAAGTACAGGGAACGTTGCCGGCTGGCGGCGGCCGCCACTCAGGGACTCCAACTCCCACAATGCATCGTAGACTCAGCTGCTTTGCTCCGCCCTCCCTAGCTCCCCTTGCCTGCGTTGTTTCTCAGGCTCCAATCTCTGTCTACGGATTGCTGGTCTGTGTTCCAGCTGCGGTGGTTGGCTACTTCTCCAACCTGTACCTAAAGACCAGAATAAGTCCAGGCATCACACCGCAAGCAAAGTTATTTTGTTAAAATCCATCAGCAGCAGCACAGAGGGAAAGTAAAGGAGGCAGCTGCCACAAAAACTGGTTGCAATTGAACCTAGCCCTATTGCTGGGTGCAAAGGTCAGATTCTTGGGACTTTTGAGGACATCACAAGTCCTGCCAAACAGGAGCGGAATCTTCCATACAATGCCTAAAGCAAATGAAACCCCCAACTTTACCTAGAACCCCAGGAAACACTTGCCAGAGCTGATAAAGCCCAGGAAGAGCCAGAGGGGAGAAAGGCAGTTCACCCACACCAACCTGCAGGTGTGCCATCCAGGGCGAGGAGAGCAAGAAGCACCAGAGGGGCACAGTTCCTCAAAACTATCCAGTTTCTGGACCTTAAGACAATTCCCCGTAAAAAAAAAAAAGACAGACAATGCCTGGCCGGCAGGGAAAAAAAAAAAAAAAAGATATTCTCTCCCCCTACCAAAGGAAGGAAATTGCTGGTTGAGAACTTGGTAACTAGGGCCCAATGCTCCCCTCCGCCTACCTGCTACCAGAACTAGTAAAACTACATCTCTGTTGCTTGGACCAATCAACAAAACCCGCCAGGGCACCTATGCAGTACACCCCGGTGAGACAGTGAGCGTTCCTGCACGCCATTTAAGGCCAGAGCCCCCACAATTCCCTTTCCAGGGACCTCTCCCTGGGAGTACTTTTATTCTTCCTCTAAATAAACTTTGTGTTTGCTTCTGCTAAAAATATGGTTGTGTATTCTTTTCACACCATAGTCAAGAAAGGAGGAACTCCTAAGTCCAGGAAACTCAACCTGATAACAGAACCCTTTTCCTCTTGTAACAGATACTGTTCTGTTTTCACAGTAGTATAAAAGTCCCTTCATTTGCAGGGTGTAAGTTCCAAGACAACCTCCAACCCCTACAGTAAGTTCCTGAACCACAGATATCATATGTAGAGTTTAGAACTGTTTTGCTTTTTTTTTTTTCCTATACATATGTACCAGTGGTAAAGTTTAATTGTAAATTAAGTACAGTAAGAGACTAGTGATAATAATATAATCACCCAAACAAGGGTAGATAGGATAGGAACCCCAAACTGTTAAGGGGAAAACTAATTTTACATGTTCTAAGGTGCAAATGTAAAGAAAGCACGTTTTAATATGCATGATCTTTAATTGGTGTGGAGAGTGAAGGAAAAGGAGAGGGAAGGGAGGGCTTAAAAAAAAAAAGGTTTCATGTAATAGACTCCTGATCAAACTGTGAAAATGACCCATCCTTTCATGAGTAAATGCCCAACCAAACAGGCTGGGCTGAAATGTGGCCACTGAAACCTGAAATCCTGCACAAGTCTAAAGCGCCTCTGGGAGGGAACCACAAGAAAGGAGTTAGGCAGGTCTTAGAGAGCAGGGACAGAAGGAGACCTGAAATTTAAAATGCAGCATACACTCCGCCACAAGGTCACAATAATGACTGCCCTTATTGCTCCCATAATGCTAAAGCTGCCAAGACAAAGGAGCAAGAACTGCTTCCCCACATTCCTCAACTACATGTCTCTCTCCACGTGTCTCCTCTTCTCCTTCTTCTCCTTCCTTCTGCCTCCATTTATATAGCTGAGCCAGGATTATAGCAGTGTGCCATAGCCTCAGAGGACAGTGTCAAGACAGTGGCCAGGCCACTGTCTCTCACCTGTGGGCACAACTGGAAGATCCACTCAGATTCTGGGCACAGAAACAATGGGTTTTATTTAGAAAACCAGAGGAAACAGCTTCTAAGGCCACAGGGCTGCTCCAAAGGTTCCTGCTGCTCAGTCTGCAATAGGAAAGAGCCAGTCTTGCCCAGTGGGTTCCAGTTTCAATATGGCATCTGCCTATAAGTCGAGCCCTATTCTACACAAATGTGACAGTTTCCAGAATCTGGAGGTGAAAGTGGTGTCTTTTCTAAGCTTGGCAGGTGGCTGGCTGGGTGGGCGCCAATAAGAAAGACATAGGCATTCTGGTTTCTATAGCAACTAGGACCTCTATCAAATCAAATAGAGTCTTTGATTTGAACTATTCCCACAGTCCTTGCAAAAGAAAATGACTGTCCCAAAATGGAAATTCTTGTGCTAAACTCATCAATACTTAACACTAAATCTTAATGCCTCATACCTCCCCCAGGAATGTAGTCCTGGTCAGTGTGGACTTTTATGGTCAGCACCAGTGAGGTCATCTGCACTCCCCAAAGGAAGATGAGACAATCTGCTATAAGACCTTTCTCCATTCCCCATAGGAGGTTCACCTAATCCTGAGCTAATCCCCTCTTCCTTTATCTTTGTCCTCTTTCTGTCTAGAAAAACCTTTCATTTTGCATAGCTCTGCCACTACCTTGATAGGATGCCACCTAATTCATGAATCATTTAAATTAATTAGTTGCATTTTTATTAATTGACAGAGTGATATTTGGATTTTTATTAAGTAATAGAGTGATATTTGGGGGTGTGCCTGCTTCACCCTGTGCCTGCTTCACCCTGGAGGCTAAGTTCATGGTTGGGGTCAAACACTACCTCTACTGGTCAGTTACCCAAGGCCTACTGACAGGGTGCTACCCTGTATGCCTGTGCTGAGCAGTAAGGGAAGCGAGTGACATAGACAAGGGCAAGGGCCTGAAGTGCCCTTCAGGCTATGGCCCTGATGAATAAGATATATACCTAACCATAAGCTCTTTGTATGGCAAATAAAGTAAAACTCAGATTTTGTTAACCTTTCCTCCCCTGGTCTCTATGACCGGCACCTATGGCCTTGCATTCTCCCTCGCTTGCAGCTGACACTGAGGCCGAGAGGCGTGGGTGAGGTCAGGTGCACCTATGATTATGGACACCTGGGTCCAGAGAGCATGGGGTAAAGGTGCATGTGTAAAGGTAGCTCATCCCAGCGTGGTGGCATCACTCTGAGGCTACTGGGCTCGGTTTTGTCTCTCTGCTGGCTGGCCTTCTCCGGATTCAACATTAAAGGCCTATGAAATCTACCAAGGGCCCCAAAATCCTCTTTTCACTTTCAAGAATTGACGATGACCTACCAAGATTGGGATGGTTGCACACCACCCATGGGGAATCGTTCTCATGAAGATAGCGCTCCAGTTTATTATGTTGACAGAAGAGTGGGCTGGACTGCCGGGGTAGTCTCTAAGAAGAGACAACAGGGATCCCTGGTGGAGAAAATACTACTAATAATAAACAGCTATATACCAGAGACATTTAATGGGGGGTGGGGGCGGGGAGTGAAGTGGGGAATGGGATCAAAAATGGGGGAGGAGGGTGATGGGCTGGACTCTGAAGATAATACACTGGTGATTTGGGATGGGAAGCCCATGGGGATTACAGGTCTTTGACCTCTCCAACCCCTAGCTGGTCAAGATCTTGTGAAGCAGTGCCGCTATGCATGCTAATGTTGCCCAGTTCAGGGGAGCAGAGGATGTGGAACAAGGCAAGCATCAGAAAAGGCCTGACCACAGGCTGGTATAAGAGGTTATCGCATTCCAAACGCTGTGCTGTGCAAATGTGCACATTGCCCTGAAGGCACAGCTGGAGTAAGCTGGTTGCCTGGGGGTTAATAAGAAGCCCCTCTGAGTCATGGTTGCAGGAGAAACCAGGAAGCAAGTCTAAATGGAAGAGAGTGTCAACCATTTGCAGCCGCCCCCTCAGAGGGATATTCAGGAGTGGTCTCCAATTACACTTGGGGCTATGCAAATGTTGGGGTGTGCCTCAACTTCCACCAGCCCAGGGAAGACAGCTGGGTTTCTAAAAGTGCCTTCAGTGCAGGTGCAGGCTGAGCAATTCAGAGTGTTGGTGTGGCCAGGTCAGTTGAGCCATGCAACCCCCCCAGATGTTGTGGCTGGAGGGATAGCCTTCTGGGCTGGCCATTAAACAGTTTTTCCCACCGTCAGAAGCCAAACTCTACCCTGGCTTCTGCACACTGGCCATTTCAGAGGGGACACAGCTGCACAGTGGTTTGAGCCCCAGCCCTGATGCCCTAAGGCAGGTGGCTGTGGGCGGGCGACTGAGTGGCAATGCTGGAAGCCTTTCAAAGGGAACAGTGCATGCGGACTTACTCTCCTGGTCATGGGGCCTTGGGAGAGGGTGGCAGCAGTGTCACAGCAGGCGACCTCTGCCACACCAGCCAGCTCCTGTAGCTGCAATTCCTCTTCTCACCATCAGTCAGTAACTGGTCCTTCTCCTTCTACTCTGCTAGTTTCCCCCTTCCTCTACCCTATTCATTAAAATAAATTATCTTTATTTCTTTTGCTGCACCAAAGGCCCTTGTGTTTGTATTTGTGGTAGCAGGACCCAGAGCCAGGTTCTGGACCAGTGGTAATTTTTTTTTTTAGAGTTATTCATACAGAACTGGGGTATAAGCCGGAGGTGCAGGGGCTGTGAGAGGATTCACCAGAGACAGAGTGGGGAGCAGAACAGGCAGATGGACGAAGCACACTGCTGAGGGGAGCAGCGGGTGGGTCAGGAGAGGTCTGCTGCGCCATGTGGTCACCTCTGGGGCGGGGGATCAAACTCCCAGATGTGGCTAGCTTGCAGAGCTGTGTCCTAATCTGTTGTGTCACCAGGGAAGGCCCACCGGTGAGAGCTTTTACTTACTTTTTAAAAAAAGATTTATTTATGTATGCATACAAGAACTGGGGTACAGGCAAGAGGTATGGGGCTTGAGAGGAATCACCAGAAACAGAGTGGCGAGCAGAACAGGCAGAATGACTGAAATACAC